AAGGATAATTTTTTTTATATAACTTTTATATGTTATTAACTAAAAAAATATATTGAATATCACATGTTTTAAATGAATAAAAAAATTAATAATTTAAATAATAAATAAGATTGTCTAAAATAAAAAATAAAAAAATATTCTATTTAAATCAGTTTTCAAAAGATAATGCGCTTGGATAATTCTCATACATAAAACTTCACACCACCTTTAACTTTATTGCCTTCCATTGCAAGAATTAAAGAAAGCCTATTGGCACAGTTTTTAGAAACAAAAATGGTATTGTATACTCTGGTGTAGTATGAACCATTTGATAGAAGTAAGTTCCTAATATTAGGAGTTTCTCTCATTCAATTGTTTCACTTTTATATTCCAAATTGCAAAAAATAGAACCCTTTTAGAAAATTGAGGTCTTCTGAAGAGAAACCAAAGTCGGCAATCTGTCTCTTGTAAGATATGCATGAGCAAATCTGTGATATTCAACTCCTATTTATATGTCTTCAACAGCCTAACCTAAATTTGACAGATACTTCCCAAAATGAAAATTACAATAAAGATAACACCTCGACCTCTTTAATTAGGCCTATGCATTAAACAGCAGTGCGCAGAAAAGCTGCCGACATCAAAACAATCAATCTGTCTATCACATGACAAATAATCTATTGGAATAGTCACTAGCTGAAAGTACAAAGTCATTCACAATCTTAGATTGCCAACAGATGATAGAGACACAAACTTGATTCTTGATGGTTGAATTTGATGACATGCTTCTTCGACCACTAATTCTGAAAGGAGAAGAATAACAGAATAACATCTCACATGTCATCCAAAGTAATCATAGGCAAAGTCAACTCCAGCATTTAGGTTTCACCATGCCAAATTCTTCATTGGATTCCATCCTCTTTAACAACTTTTTAAGTGTAAAGTTCCCAAAAACATCTCAACGCATTGTCATTTTGCATGCATGCCACTTCGATTAAGGAATATGATAATGGAACAAGAAGAAAAGAAGCACTAAACTAGGAAGAATAGCAGCTTTCCTCAAAAAAAAAAAAAAACTAGGAAGAATAGCAGCTGTTTCAACTTTTAAATTTTAGAACTGAAAAGGTTCTTTATGTACTCACGAGCCTAGGTACCTTTTGTAATCCTACAAACTCTAATTACACCTCCAAAAAGGTTGACTCCACCTCCATCCATAACATAAATGCAACATACTGTATCCTTGCATAATATGAGAGAGTAATTCAACAGAAACCAAGCACCCCATAAGAGAAGTAGAGATTGTAGGGAACTACCATATAAATGCAACAGAAGGCCAAAAAGAAACTAAGAAAAGCCATCACCAATTAACTTCATTATAATAGAGACAAGAACATCAGAAAAATACCTACAGGATAAACAAGAGCCTGTATATATAAACAATTTGATAAATTACATGACATGGGCATTTCAGGAACTGAAAGATACGCGCTAAAATGCTATTACTTCTCCTGTAACCAACGAGTTCACAAGAGAAACTAAGAGAAGTATCAGTGGAAACAAGAATTGCATCCTTGAAAACAAGAACTCCAATTCACCCCCCCTTGGAGTACATTGAGCCAACAAAATAGGACTTGTTCCAAGAATTCTCCACGAACTTGTGCCCAAGATTCAAGAACAGCTCACTACACAATCATATCAAACACTTCCCAAAAGAAACAGAGGTTCAACCGTCAGCATTAATACACTGAAAGCCTCTGCAAACATACAACCATACCCCAAACAACGCAGCACATACAGCCAAGTCCAAAAACAATACCACCATAACATGCTTCCTCCAAATTTGCTTTGCTTTTTGTCCATCCCGGGCAAAAAAACTGCCACCCTTTTGCAGACAAACCCGGAAGTCTCTAGACACACCATTACTATCAGAACTAGCATCCATCGTACTTTCCACACCGCCATCTTTCAAATCTCCATTAGCCTCTGCAGACAATCTCCTCTTCTTCTTTAATCCTTTAATGGGATTCCCTAGCAACGGAGCCATCCCAGATTTCTTTCCTTTTGAATCTTTAGATTCACTTCTGGGAGATGTCACGAACTCCGAATCCAACGCCATCATCTCGCAGAAGACTGGATTGAATAGCGACTGGAGACAAAAATTATCACTACCCAGGATTAACCCCTTCTGAAGCAACTCCTCTAAGGCACGTTTTAGGCGATTCAAGAACCAAATAGACTCTGATTTGTCGAGGTTTTCATCACATATAGCAAAATAGGCAAAAGGGTCATCGATTAAGAAGGTATAGGTTCTTTTCTTGACGGTATGAGAGAACAGAGAATGATTAGGTGGAGTTTCCTCAATGCATCTTTGTGCCAAGGATTCAATCCCCGGTTCCTTGGAGGAATACTGAGCGAGAATTATTGGTCCCCTGGCAATGCAGGTATAGAAAATGAAATTTGGGTTCGAAATCATTGATAGGGATTTCACAAAATAACGAAAAGAATCAAGCTTTTCGTGCTCAAATCAACGACAAAACCAGGATCGGATCGAAGACGATAAAACAGACATTGTAATGTGCAAGTTGATTATGGTGGGTTGTTTTCAATGAGTTTTTGATCTAAGAAAGAAAGAAAGAAAGAAAAAGAATTGGATCTCAATCCCTCAAAAAAATTGATGGGTTTTCTCTCACTTTCTCTGAAAATTTTCCTTTCTTCGTGTTTTGGTTCTTCCTTCTTCTCTTCTGAATTTCTAGAAGCTTTGCCTTTTCTAGGGTTTGAAGAGGAAGGAATGACACGGTTGGATTGGAAGGAAAGGTCGGAATAACGGCTTCTGATTGTCGAATTTGCCCTTCGAAACACAACATAATTACAGAAATGTGCCACGTTCTTACAATGTCAGCTGTTTGGCTTGTCGACCAATTTTGACGCTACAGGTGGCATGATCTTTAGTCGAAAAATAATTTAAAGATAATTTTTATATATAATCCTTTTTTTATATATAATCCTTTTATATATAAAATATATTTTATCAATAACTAAAATAGTTTAATGGTTATTTTTTTAATAAAAATAAGAGATATTGAATTCGAATTGCATGACATGCGGATAAAATAAAATAAAAAATGAGATATGATTACCTTTTATTATGTAATTAAAATAAAAAATAATAAAATAAAATGTATAGTTTATTTACTATTTATTTAATTTTAATATATTTAATTTTTTATTTAATAAACATTTATAATAATTTACTAATAAAATTTTATATTTATTTTATTAAAATTTTTTATTTAATAATTATTATAATTATATTTTTAAAATAAAAATAAACATACTAAATGACATTTTAATAACTAAATTTGAATGTTTTAAATTAAAAAATTACAATAATCTACTAGAATTGAAGAAACAATAATTATTGATTTATTTTATTTTATTAAATTTATGATATTAAATGTAATTACACATCTAATAGAATATAAAAATAAAAAAAAAATAAAAAGTTAAAATTTTTGGATATTTGCATACCATACCATTACCTATATTGATGAAGAAATGCAAATGTCATCTCCTGAAATTTTTAAGTTGGAGGATATGAGTTGCATGGTAGACCCGTGGTGTGGGTCAAGCAATAGAAAATTATTGTCTCCGCATATCTTTAACAAGTACAAAGACTTAGCTGGATTATATCATCTCAAAGCAGGAATTAAATGAGTTGGTTATGAGTTTGCTAATTAGAGAAAGCAACTCATGACCCAGTCATTATGATTTTGTGGGTTGTTTTCTTAAACACAATTCATAGGTCAAATAAGTAGAATCAAATAAGTTAAGTCAAAAATTTTGAAAACGATTTAAGTAATTTAATAATTATCTTTTTTTACAAGAAATAAAATGTCCTAAGTTCGAGTCGTGTGATATGTTGGGGTGGGATAAAGGATGAAAAATAATTACTTCCCATTGAGCAACCAAGATAAAAAATATAATAATAAACAAAAAATAAAAAATAAAAAACAAGTCAAGAATCTTAACTTGCGACTTATTTAAGTGAGCATGTTGGGTTAGCTCAATTTTTTGACAAATCTAACAATATGCAACCTAAAATTGAAATAAATAAATAAGGGCTCACCTCAACAAAATCATATGAAAACATACACTGATTAACTATTTTCCAATTCCAGTTCATCATCAAGACTGAATTCAAGCTATTATTAACCCTACATTGTGGGAATGACAACAACGCAGGGTCTTCCATGGTAATTTATTTTTACTATAGCTAGCTGAAAAGAATGAAAGCAGCACAATTACAAAATGTATAATGACAGTTCTAAGCTCAGCCTAGTATGGTGTTCAAGAAGAATCCAGTTCCCGCAATATTGAGCATGAACTTCTCCTATATAAAAAAATGAAGATTTGATTATAATAATAGAAAGAAAAATGCTCCATTTTACCAATTTCCTACTGTCTTCTCTTTCAGAGTTTCATCCTCAGCTTCAGCTAACAGTATGGGGGATCGATGAAGGCCCATTCGAAGACCTGCTCGTATTGTTTGGCAGCACTTTCCCATGTGAAGTCCCTCTTCATTCCTCTTCTCATCAATCCCTCCCAAGATTCTTTATGTTCTCTGTAGGTCTGCATTGCTGTCCTTAACGCCTGATGTAGATGACACGGTGAAAAGTACAAAGGGTCAAAGTAAAATCAGAATATCATTCTTGTAATGCATAAGAACAAGAATTGGGTGACCATGTAAAGGATGAAGTGTTCTAGCTATGAATCAATTGACAGGGTGAGTACCGAGGAAATGATGTAAAGCTTAAACAAGGATGAGGTATTGGATGCATGGCAGAGTGACTTACCCCCAGCATGCTTTCTGTTGTAAGTGGAGAAAATAACCATCTGGCAGCAAATTTCACAACAAAAGCAAAACATCATTTATCAATATACACAACAAACGCATACTAGTCATTTAAAAAATTACCACAGCTTTTAGACAGCAAACAAACGTAGAAACTAGTTTTGGATTTTTGGATATTTGAATAGCAATTTTACTTTTTCCTTTTCTTTTGTAATTAGAGGAAAATTGTTTACGATTACACAATTTTTTAGTTTGGAACCATCCACAATCATGCATGCAATGGAATAGAGGACGAACAGTATACCCTGTGGCTACTCAAGGGAAAAGGGAGAGAAACTACATACCCTGTACCTTCACCACTGCCTTCTCCAGCATAAGGATTGAAATTCTCCACCGTGTCCTGAAAGAAAGCAAATTAGATGCGTTTCAAGAAAACCTAATGAAAGACAGTGGCTAGAATGTTCTTTATCATTTTTAACTCACTCGTAGTCCTCCTGTGGCATGAACTACTGGTACGGTTCCATATCTCATTGCATACAATTGATTTAATCCACAGGGCTCAAATCTTGAGGGCATCAATAATATGTCACAGCTGCTCATTTCAACATTTTCAGTCAGTTAAACTTATTCCTCTTAGCTACTTGATAACCAAGGTCAAAAAAAAAAAAGGCTACTTGCTAACCACAATATGGGAGATTTCAAATACCCTGAAGTGATTCTATGAGAAATAGGAACATTAAATCCAACCCAACCCCGAAATTTGTCTCTGTAATTTGATTCTGCCATTCTCATCCAGTCCTCATACTGTGGGTCCCCTGAGCCAAGCATTACCTGAAAAATTTTGGAAGGTCAGTCACCACTCACCAGAGAAGGATATGTGTTTAACTCTAACTAGAATCAAATTACAAAAGCCATCCATTCCGGTATATCATTGGCCCAATTACTAAGATCAGGCAATATACAATTTTTTTATTTTTATTTTTAATCCTAAGCATACCATTCTCTAATAGCCAGTTTCCTCTATCAGGATAAATAAATCCCAAATTTCTGAATTGAGTTTGAGGAAGAAATATGTCAGTCAGTAAAACAATCAAGTCCTGGGGAAAACAAAGTTATAATATACCTCTAACCAGTATGAGAGGAAACCAAATCAAATCCTAAGATGAAAATTTATCCAACATTGAGATTGGTCCCAAGAAATCAGAAGCAGAATTGCTTTAATTATCAACTAAAATGAGGAAGAGCTCCAAAGAAGTAATAAGAGCATGGAATAAATGGAAAACTCACTTACGAATTGTACATCATCTTGCAGAAGCTCTGGAGTTGCCAAACGTATCAGGTCAATACCTTTCTGGTAGTCCAGTCTTCCAATAAACCCAATCTACAAGAATGCCACTCAAATGTAAAAATAAAGAAACCCTATGGTCTTCACCATGAAGTCTATGCACATGAAGAAATCAAAATCTTACCAAGGGAACTTCAGGCCTAACAGGGAGACCTAGTTCCTTTTGTAGAGAAATCTTGCACTGAACCTGCAGTTGATGATCAGTGATTGAGATAACTATGCATCAGAACAGCTTTGCTTCCTTTTTTGAAAAAGAAAAAATTATTTATTTATAATGAATGGCTTGTTTAAGATACAGTTGATTGACCACCTTTCCAGAGAGATCATCAGCAGAGTAATGAGAAGCAATATGCTCATCTGAGGATGGGTCCCATTCAGCAACATCAATGCCATTTGTAATCCCTGACCAACAGTACATATTTCATTTAAAATTTTCAAAACCAAATCACATACCTTGTTCTTCAAAGATTAGAAACATGACCACTGAGCAGGAACTATCCTACACATGATCATGCACATAGTTTTACTCACAATGGTCTACTATAGTCCAGAATGGAGCTTAGTCCAAGATTAAAGCCATTAGTAATGTTGCTATCCTAATGAGGGCTGTTAGAGAGTGATATAAAACTGCATTCTGATCTCCAGTATATTTGCATGAGCATGGCATCTCAAAACATTATCATTGTTCCAGAAAATCACCCTTAAACATAAGATACTATTTAGAAAAACATACCATTCAGTACACTCTTTCGACTTCTTAATAGATCATGTAAACCATATCCACCTTCAATGGTTGTTACTTCCCATGAATAGGCCTGCAATTAGCAATCATAATGTTAACACAAGCGGATGTTCCTTACTTTTCAAAGCGCAAATCATTACAAAACAAGTGGTCCACTTGTTCTACATCATTTTTTCTATATTGAAATAATTTCATAGATAATTTTCAGTTACAAACTTTCCACCTAAGGTTTTAATTATTGGAGAAAACAGAGCTTATACAAATCCATGAATTAGCATGATTGCAACATAAATCACCTCACTAACTGTCAGTATCCGGTCTGCTGTAACAACTGCACCCTTCAAAACATTGACAGCTTCGCCTGTGTCAAGTGCATGTGTCCTTGCCCATGTAGGGAACACCCATTCAAGTGCCCCATACCACTCCTGAGGCAATCCCAAATTCTTGTAACTTGCTGCAGGTTCCACTCCCTAGCACATAGCAAGTTCAGAAGATACTAGATTACATAATTCATCATTTCATAAGAATTGTGATCTGCAGGATCCTAGAATGCAAAATTCCCAATGCTTCTATTCGTAATCCAAAAACAGCAATATGAGATCGAAGCAAAAGATAATCATGACAAAATCAACTACCTGATGAGCAAGATTATGAATTACAAGAATGCTTCGAGCTTCTCTATAAACTCCAAATGGACGATATTTGGATGCCAAAAGCCTGAAATATGAGAATTAAAATCAATATTCAAAGAAGAATTGCCTGCTCTACAAATGGACCATTTTATACTTAAACTATTTTTAAATAAATATTTATCAGCCACTGAAGCATAACTTGTTAAAAGGGAAGAAACTACCTAAGAGGTCAGAAAAGGGCACGAAGTCATTTGCCATGGGCTGTTACTAGCTAAGAAATAAGGTTCAGTTCCATAATCATCATTAATTAGCATTTTTTTGGTTTTTGACCTGGCATTTTGCTTTCTTTTTAATTCAAAATTTTGGAGGGAAAAAAGATAGGAAGGATAAGAATCATAAATTGCAATCTGATATCAAACTAGAATAGAAGAAAACAACTAGCAAATGTGGGGAAGAAAGGCCTAGCAGCAAGTTCATTATCAGAAAATTATATGATATTCCTCATATTTTCCAATAAATAAAATAGTCAGAACCAATAAATAAAGAAACGGGAAAAAAATGCAATTATAAGCTGAAGACTTTACACTGGCACTAGACCAGCATGCCAATCATTGACAAGGAAGAGACATTTCTCTCCATAGGTATACCCTCCCAGTGGAAGCACCAATGGAGCTTCACATGCTGCATGGCAAAGTAAGGTGAACCGAAACTGAAAAGCCAAAGGATGGAAAACAGTGTTATTTTTGGTGAATGTAAAATTCTGTTACTTAAGCAATTTCAGGTTTAACCAACATTTTAGTTCTAGAATAATGTAGTATACCTGATTATCACCAAAAGCACCAAGATTATCACCATAAGGATTTCCAGGTCTGTGGTATGAAGGATGGTCTATGAATACCTAATAAAGAAAGGGAAAGAACTCATCATTACTAAGAAAAGTTCTACTCTCACTTCTCAATGTAACAAAGAGATGAGGAAGAGACATAATTTCAGAACTCAGAACTCTTTAATAAGGCTAGCATTTTTTAGAACATAATTAAAAAAGGATTATCATTTTAAAAGCATAACAATTCTTACCCAATCAACTCCATCTCTATACTCATGGAAGAATGAAACCTCTTGTGCCCCTCCAAAACAAAATATCTTGATCCGCTGATTCAGATCTAAAGCACTAGCAAAGCTTTTGTCTGAATCAGTACCATTTAGGTAACGAGGAGAGATAACCATGACTCTGTGGCCACGAGCAGCTAGTGCAATGGGCAAAGAACCACAAACATCTCCTAATCCACCCGTCTTTGAATAAGGTGCTGCTTCAGCAGTAACAAAAACAACATTGTAGGTTACTTTGGTTTCGGAAACATCTTCTTCGATTTCCTCTTGTTTCTCTTGCACATCAGTAACTGCATCTTCATCAGAGTCAATGACTTCAGTACGACCTGTAATTCAGGTTAATTAGATTTCCATTTAGCTCCTGGAATCTCCTTGAACATCCACAATACTGTGAGGGGAAAGTTTGATTTAAGGCAGTTAATGGAGAAGAACTGAAGGTCCAGAGGAGTGGCTAACTTCAGGACAAGATATTGAAACAAACATAAGCATCAAGAATACATTAAGAGCCAAAAAGAAGCAATTGGGCTTAATCATTATTCATTAACAACAAAGCAAAGAAATTTCAATGGACATTAGCTAGAAAATTATGAAGCAATTAAAGAACAACTTTGTTCATGACATGAATGGTGTGTATGCTTGTTCTGTTTGCAAATCACTAAGCATTGTTAGTGTGTATGTAGAGAAGTATCAATTCACACCCAAATAAAGCTTTCCTTCATGTCCTTTTAATAGCATTGCATGCAGGGTAAGGACTAGGTAGGAGACAGAATTTATCCCCATTTCTAGACCAAGCAAGCAATGAATAAGGCCAAAATAATTACATAATTACACATGTTTACAGAAATTCTTATTGCAAAGATCACTGCCTAAATTGGTTTACAGTGAAACCAAGCACTTGAGTCATATACACAGTAATTTGGATAATCAGGAAGCATGAATACCGCAAGCCCAAATATAGCTTGTAAAATAGCATAAAGATGTATGTAAATTCAATTTAATCAAAGAGTTAATTTGGGTTTCATTTTTTTGGCCATGTGTGCTGATAATAGTTTGATCATCTCATTTCATGCTCAATCACGGCTCATGTTATATGGTAATACAGATCAGATTTAGTTCCAACAATGGACACCTATCAATTGAAAACCATTTTATCACCACATTCTACTACTCTCACTTTTTTATTAAAAAAAAAAAAAATTGATTTTTATATACAAGTATACATGTCATGCATGATTTAAAAGGGCTAGTAGCCAGAAACAACAAGCTAAACTTTGGCAGACAAAAAAACGAAAAAAACAAAAGAATGAAAAAAACAAAAAAAACAAAAAACAAAATGCACGTTATATATTGTCTACTCAAAATCCCAGTTCAGTGCACTGGCATCCAGCACTTCCCTCGATAGACATGTGATCCTACAATCCAATGTCGGCAATTGGAGATTGCTGCATTCTGATAATAGAAAATTAAAGTAGGACGGTCCAAGTTATTTTCCCAATATCACATCTAACAAAGGTCCATTCTTGATATAATTTAGTATTTTTTTCACTAACATATAAAATTTAACATAAATATATAAAAAAATTCAACCGCAATCTATATTTCATAAAAAGTTGAAGAGTATTACAATGGAGACTGCACATATTTTATAGCTATATACTTTATATTTATGAGAGGTTGTGACCATCTCAATATCAAAGCCCCTACTTATCAATAACTATAAAATGTACAGCTTTCTCATCAATGGTTATATAACGTGCAATGCAAACTGTGTCCTGGAATATATCAATTACTATAATTAACGATGACTGTATCAAGACTCTAGAGATTGCAAAAAATAAAAAAATCTTTTGATTCCTAGCAGTAAAGAGCATCAAGAAGAAGAAGGAAACCCAAACATACAGATATGCTGAGATTCATTCAAAGGAAGAAAAAAACGGAGAGAGATTAAAAGAGAATAAATGGAAGTACCATAATGAGGACTGAGATTAAAACCAATAATAGAACCAGATTCATCCCTCTCCATGCCCAGAAAAAGACCCACCTCCTCCACTTCCTCCTTATCTTCCTTCTCATCTTCCACAGCCCCATCTTTGTTCCCACCATTGCCATCTTCAACCGCCTTGACAACCCTCAAACACCTATTTCCAATGCGTCTTCTCCAACAAGAACCGAAACCCACTTGTCTTACAGGTCTAAACGCGGAATCCCGTTGGTTTAAAGTTATGGGTAATTTGAAAAAACCCAGACGATTAATTGCCAAGGACTCCATTAATACCAGAGTTTGGAGTCACAAAGATGGAGAAAAACAGAAATATAAAAAAAAAAAAAAAATTTGAAACCCAATAGAGAAGGGAAGGGATCGTGACTCGCAGTTGAACTTGAATTATAAAGGGAAAAATCTGAATAAAGAGAGTTATTGATAAAGACAAAAAGAAACATGATATAAAATCACATTCTTCTTCTCTTTCGCCTTGCTTTATTCTTTGGATAGAGAAAGAGTAGGATTACCTGATTTTTAAATGCCGGTGGTGATATAGGATAAATTTTTATATTTTATTTTTATATAATTTGTATATATTATTAAATAAATATATATTTAATATTATAA